CCCAGTACCTTTTTGCTCATGTTCACCTCTAAGCAGCAAGATAAACTGAACGTCATACTTTCACGACTCATATCTAAAGATGCTGAGATCTCTGCTAAACCCTACATTCCACAGCCAGGAGGAGCCCTTTTTCCGCACTTTTCTGTCCGACATCGGTCCGCTGCTTTGCCGCATCCTTGGCTTGCTTGGCCTCGGCCTTCAGCCGTGCGATGCGCTCCTGCGGACTTTTCGGGCCCTTCATGGCCTCTGTACGAATTCGTAGCATCTGTAAAGAGTTTAAGGCGTTGAGGGTTCAGGCGTTCTGGTATAGGGGTTTGGTTCAGGGCTTGATCTTCTTTTAGGGTTTGAGGTCGATGGTGTTAGGGGGGTTTTTGCTGTCAACCGCTTCAGAAATCTGAAAGGCTGCGATTCGGATTCTGACCTTAGCTACGACACCATGCTCCATGAAAACTCTCAGTTCAAAACTCTGCAACTCCAAACCCTAAACAGCTCGACACCTTAGGGAGGGTTCAGGGTTTAGGGTTTAGGGCCTGTACACTCCCAAGACCCCTAAATAAGCCTGACCTGCTGCCCTGGGCCCCACCCTTTCCCTCTGCATCCCAGCTCCTGCGCGGTCTCCCCTGCAACGCTTTCCGAGGGCTCCGGCGAAGCCTTCGGCTTTGCCCAGCGGCCGCGCGCCTGCGGCGGTTGGGAGGCGAAGCTCAAGGAACAGAGCAAAAATTAGGACAATAAGACTATGAAGCATATAGACAGAATCGAATAGCAAACAACAAAGTCAGAAATTGAAATGAGACTGGTCATGACAATACTACGAACAAAAAGAGGTCTAACGTTTTTGTTGGGGCTTGCAAGCTTTTTCGTCGGAGCGAGCACACTTTGCTGCACGTAAGCCGAAGCGGTAAACCCTAAGACTCTAAGACCCCAAATCCTCAACCCTGGGGCATCGCGCCCTGGAGGTTCAGGGTATGACTCCTGACCTTTGATCTGGTTTTTCTGTTTCTCTGCATGCTGCCGTCGTTGCACGCTGTGTTTAATGCTGCTTTTCTCGCTGACCTGAACCCTGCACCCTAATTCCGGAACCTTACAAGCCCTAAACCCTACAGTAAAGCCATGATTTGCCGGGCGCCTCGCAATAACCCTTATAGAAATCTCTGTGAAGGAGCCCTAAAGGGACTGTCAAGGGACCCTAAAGGGACCTTATTCTCTTACTAAGGCGCCTCCTTCTTCGGCGCCTCCCGTTCGGGAGCCTTCGCGGGCTCCGGGGTCCTGGGCCTCTCGGCCTCGGCAGGGCCGGAGGCCGCAGGGGGAGCCTCCAGCGCAGCCAGGCAGGCCTTGCGGAGGTTGAGGGTTTAGGGTTTAGGGTTTAGGGTTTGAGGGTTTAGGGTTCAGGGTTGAGGGTTTAGGGTTTAAGGTTTAGGGGGGGTTGCTGAGGTTTGGGAAGGTTGGCGCAAGGAATAGGATGAAGACGAACACCGCGACACTGATGGGGAAAAGGAGCAATTTCGAAGACGATGGTAAAGCCGATAGGAAAGAATGGTGATGATGATGATGACGATGATGAGGATGAGGATGATGAGGATGAGGATGAGGATGAGGTTGATGATGATGAGGATGAAGAAGAGGATGATGACGACGACGACTTTGGGTGATGCACCGGGGAGGTGGCGCTGCCACGGCAACTGCCTCCGCCTGCTTGTAATCAGCTATGGCCCTTCATGCAAAGCTACTTGAAGGGACCAAGAACGGATGGCTGCGCAAGAAGAGGGGGGTGAGAAAAGGTCAAGTTACTTGAAACACTGCCCCCAAAAAACCCACAAAGTTCCTTACACCCCGATGCATCAACCCCTCGATCCTTCACCCAATGACCGTTCAGGTCGCATCGGAAAAGGCCTCCACGTGCTGTTGGATCGTCTCCAAGGGGTATTGGCCCGCACAGACGGGGCAGGCCGCCAGCTCGGGCCCTTCGAGCTGCTCCCATTTGGTTTTGGTTTTGGGTTTAGGGTTTAGGGTTTGGGGTTTAGGGTTTAGGGCTTAGGGTTTTGGGTTTAGGGGCTTTGGGCGCAGGATCCGTGAACTACGGGTTTCGGAGTATACGAAAAAGGTTTCGGATTCAGACTCCTTGAGTTAATAGGGTCTAGCCCCTTATAGCCCTTCACATCACAAATCGAACAGGCGCACCACTAGGCATATACCCACCACGAAAGCGCCAAGATCTCGTGGCCTTCGTCGCTGCTGCCGGCGGCTCCGCCTGTTTCCGGAACCCAGGCCAGGGCCTCTTCGAGGGCTGCCAAGAAGGCCTCGGAAAGCGAGGAAGGACGAAGATGCGTCTGCTTGTCTGTTCCTGCACCCGTCTGCCTCTCTCTCTCTCTCTCTCTCTCTCTCTGTCTATGTATATATGCTCATGGTTTCCGTTGAAACGCGGCATACAAGTCGAAGCCATCAAGTTGGAACATGGGTGAAGGCTGATTGTCAAGTAAGGGACTGAGGATAGTGATGTTTCAACTTTCTGGCTTTTAGTTTTGGGCTTCGGGGTTAGAGACTTGCACGGTTGGCTGCCTGTGAGCTGGGGGACTACCAGTCAAGCCAATGGCCAGCAGTGGAAACAATCTGGTTTGCTTTGACCTTCGGAACTCTGCGCTTCAAGATATCTGAAGCCATGCGTGCACGCAAGGCACATGTACGGGTGATAGCTGCTGCCCAAGAGGCCTCCTGCACGCTTTTGCTTTGCACGTGGTGCTCGTAGATACACCAGAAAAACTCTGCAGCAGCTGGAGGGAGATCCAACTGTAGCAAGCTTTCCAGGAGCTCGGCCGGGAGCTGGGAAAATTCAGAGGCTCCGGCGGCAGAAGTCGCGGACTCTACCAGTGGAGCTTCTTTGGGCCCTGTTCGGAGACACTGCTCCACGTGCTCTTCGAGCTCGCTCTGCGGAAAAGAGCGGCCGCAGATGGGGCAGTCTCCGTAGACCTCCTGGGCTGCCTAAGACACACAACGGAGGGAGCTTCACCTGTGCTTGCCTACTCCTACGGTCCTACAGAAAGCCAGCGAAGCACTGCATCCTGTCAGCATCGTTTGAGCTCCATGAAAGAGGGTTTAGGGTTTAGGGTACCCTAAACCCTAAACCCTAAACCCTAAACCGGGCTGCAAGGCTGGCAGCCAAGCTTCGGGCGCCTTCTTGCGCCGCCGCGATGTGATGGGCACTGCCGTGTCCAGCAAGTTTGCCAGGGTGTACCGAGACGAGCGGCCATTGGAAACCTTGGCTGCTGTCTCCACACTATACCGTATATGCTTTCGGGAAGGGCCCGAAACTCAATTTTTTCTCTGCCCCCTCCATGGGGGTAGTTGTCTAGATTAGGGTCCCTTTTAGGGTCCTTTTCAAAAGGGTGCCGTACTATATCGGGGACCCAAAACGGGACCCTTATTTAGGGAACTACCCATGGGCTAGTCCGAGGCACGAGGTACTGGGCCGCCTCAGGAGAGTCCCAGTCTTCCTCGTTTTGCAGATCTTCTGGCTGCGCTCGGGCGGTGAAGAAATCCACCTCAGGGCCACCACGGAACCCTCAACCAAGCAGTGCCCAAACAAACGGAATCATGACTCATCAGGACTTCCCAAGTGTCCGAAGGGTTCTGCAAAAACGCATGCTCCGTCAAAATTCGAGTCTACACAGTTCAGCAAAACTCCCAGTCTTGCGGGCAGATAGGAGGGCCTATAGAACGCCTTTTCGCAAGCTCCCCCGGGCCTCCTCGCGCGCCTTGTCGATGTAGGAGTCCCGCCTCCAGTCCTCCGAGGGCAGCGGCCCGGTTTCGGCCCAGGGCTCGGGCTCGGGACGCTCGTGCTGGCGGAGGTGCAGCCTCGGAGTCTCAAAGGGGCCGTGAAAAAACCCGGAAACTTGCGCCGGTATCTAAAGGACTATCATATAACATCACCAGCCTCCGTGAATCACAGCATGGTCACCAGCATGGTCTTTGGATTGTACAGTCAGGCCGGTCATCTTCATCGGCACTATAATCGTATTATCATCATCACCAGCTCCAGCGCCATCATCAGCGTTCTTCCTACCATCGTGACTGCGAGCACGTGTGCCGCTACTTGGCTATTCTGGCTCGGGGCAGCTGTTCTTGCGTTACTTCTTGCCGTGCAAAAACCGCCAGAGCAGAGTAAGATAGGGGCCTTAATAACTAGAATAGGGTTTTGGGGGTTCCTTATTGTAATTATAGTATAATGGGCCCCAAAACCTTATTCTAGTTGTGAAGGCCCCTATATTACCGTCCCAGGTCCCTTTTCGAATCTGCAAGGCCAGGAGACCCCAGCGTCCGGCGCATCGTGAAGGTGGCGCCGCAGGTCGGACAGACCTTGCAAAATCAAGCTGTTCTGGAGACGGGGCCCTAAACCCCTAAACCCGGATCCTTGTTGGGGCTATAGTTAAAAATGATCATTTTTATTCCTTATTGGGTTTTATTATAACAAAAATGTAAAATAGTATCCAACAAGGACCCAGAAACCCTAAACCCCTAAACTTCTGGAGATTGGGGCAAAGAATGCTTCTTGGGGGGGTGATCTTCGAAGGTAAGGGCGCCGCAAGCCTTTCGAGGCGTCAGCTAGTGCTCGTCATCTCAACTAAAATGCTGGGGTTCCGAAAATAGAGGACCCTAATATAGCACCCTAAATAGTAGGATGCTTATTATAAGGACCCCAAAATAAGGTACCCTAATTTTCGGAAAGTCCCAAATGCTGGGTTGCAGGCCTCTCTCTGGAAGACCGATCTTTTGACACCCACATGTGGAGGAAACTGAGCCAACTCACCTGCAAGAACCAGAGCCTGGTCAACCCCGACCCTGGACCTTAAACCTTGAAACTGAAGCCCCAAAACCCTAAACCCTAAAACCCCGAAACCCCAAACCCTAAACCCCCAAAAATTTCAGGAACCCTAAACTGGCCCTACACTCCAAACCCTAGCCCAAACCCTACAGCCAAAAACCCCTTTCTTCGCTTCCCAAGGCACCAGGGGATCCCTCTCGCGGAGCTCCACCGACGCCGTCTGGGCGCAGAGGGAAGCCTTTGGGGCGGCTCGGCGCGCCGCCTGGGTCTGGGAGTTTAGGGTTTTGGGTTTAGGGTTTTGGGTTTTGGGGGTTTTGGAAGTCGGGTTTTTGTTTTTTGAGGAGCTTTTTCCTGGGCAACGTGCAGGAGAGCCTATTTAGGTAGGTCTGGTGGAATTCTGGTTTAGGGTTCAGGGTTTGGGTTAGGATTTGGGACTGTGATGACTTGTGCGGCGCTTGACATTTGGGATTTGGGGTGGTTTGGGGTTTAGGGATTGAGCGCAGGGAGTAGGGATTCGGGGTTTAGGTTGCGGTGTCATGGTGCTTGGGATTGTAAATATGCTCAGGATATTTTGGTGAACTGATCGCATTCGTTGCTTTATCATAGTAGTCTAGAGCCTTACTCCGCATGTACATCTACTGTAGGGTTCAGTGCTGAGGCGCTTTGGCGGTGGAGGACTTCTTCAAAGATAGTTGGGGCGGGTGTGCCCATCCTAAATCCTGATTCGTTTCATAAAAGGACTGGAGGACGGTTTAGAGTTTAGAGTTTAGGGTTTTGGCTTTAGGGTTTAGGGAGGAATTATGCCGAAAAGATACTACATGTAGCAGCGGCAACAAAAAGCAATAAGACGCGATTACTTGTGGTGCTATTTTTATCCTGACATTGATTATGTTCTCGAGACACCCAAGTACCAAGAGGACCCCAAACGCCTGCGCCATCGAATGTTTAGGCTCGGCGTAGTGCAGCCGAGTGGCTTCTTGCGCAAGCTCCTGAAAGGGCAGCTTGAAGTAGACTTCTCCCAATCCAGACCACCCCGGGCCGAACCCGAAGAGAACAGGTTCCCTGGACCTCACAATCACCCCGGAGCCTCCCGACACCCTGGGCACCACAACCTGAAGCATGTCCCGAACCCCAGCCACCCATTGATTTTCCTGCGGCTCCCACCGTCCCTGCCATCTAAGAATTCAAGAAGTAGACTTAGGCATTACGTTCATGGCGCAGGATGAGAGGTTACAGGGTTTCACCTCGCGGTACGACAGGACGGCCACTCCCACTTCGGCGGCCATGCCAAGGCGTTGCCTGGGTGTTCCGCGGGCTACGAGGCCTAGTAAATTGGAGGCCATGAACCTTAAGCCCTGAAGCCTCTGCACGGGGTATAGTTTGGTTTGAAGATTAGCATGGAAGTCTGTAGGTTTGCATTGGGCTACATTGCTGGCCACTGATGTAGGTATTATAGAAACCTGAATTACGAGCCAGTTCGAAGGCTGTAACTCCCAACAAGGGTCATCCGTGAAGGCATAGATAGTTCTGGTACAGCACAGCCTGCACCACACATTATATTGACAAAAACATGGCCTTTCATGTTTTCATAGACCCTGCTTTCCAGCATGATAGAGTACCGTAGTGTGCTGAACTTCGGATCCCAGCTTCAATCCGCTTAGGGTCTTCGCGCCGGCCGCAGCTGGCGCAGCCCGGACCGGAACGAACCTGGTCAGAGGCCGAGGGCTACGAATGGGCTCAAAGTGCAAGCGTTGTCGTTGTTGTTCTTGTTGTTCTTGTTGTTCTTGTTGTTGTTGTTGTTGTCCTTATTTTTACTTCAACATAACCTTTTAGGATTCAGCTTGGCGACAGATTTTTGCGCCATCTTCATTACTGAGGCTACTGGTGCTCGCCTCGGCCCCGGCCCTTCCTTCCCTGTCCCTCTTCTGGCAATTACAAGGAAATCTGCTTGGCTTAGGGTTTAGGGTTTAGGGTTTCGGGTATAGGGTTGAGGGTTTAGGGTTTAGGGAAAGACCTCCGAGCCGACAATTCAAAGCCTCTCGTGCTCCAGGAAGGGGTCCAAGGACTCCAGGTCCCAGACGTCCAAGGAGGAGGGTGTGCGATCGCAGTGGCCGGAGCAGCAGATCCAGTACCTGCTTTTTTGAGTTTGTTTGAGGGTTTAGGGCTTTAGGGCTTTAGGCTCTAGGGTTTAGGGTTTAGGCTAGATCCAGTACCGGATTTTGTTTTTTTGTTTTTAGGTTTTTGGGGGGGCTGGGGACTTCGGGCCGTCGGGCTTTGGGAGCCCTGGGATGCTTCGGAGGTTAAGGCCCAGCGGAACCTTCGATCTTTCCGCTCAGATATGCAGGTCGTGATTTCTCTCTCTGTGTATACATATGTATATGAATGAATATATATATATATATATTTACATACATACACGCTTGTACTGCATCTTGTGAAATAGTAGGCTTAGCATGAAGTCTCCCAGGACAGGGATCCCCTTCCTTCGAATTCCACTCCCAAACCTAGGCATACATCCATGGGAAAGGCAGGCAGGCAGGCAATCCATAAAGACATGCACAGACACAATTCTACAAACCATAAACCCCCAACCAGGGCCCGTGCCTGAATCGGACCTCAAAGCCGCAAAATCGAAGCCATCAGCCTAAACCCCAAAGCCCTAAATGACTAACCATTACCCCCGCCAATCAAGACCTAAACCCTAAGCCCTAACCCTAAACCCCAAAACCCGGACCCCAAACCCTATACCCCTAAACTTCCAGAAACCTTCAACCCTAAACCCTAAACCCTAAAACCCTAAACTCTAAACCCAAGGTGCCCGTGCCAGGCTCGGCAGGGAGCGTCCTCTGGGGGCTCCGGAGGTTCCAGGGTGGGTCCTGGAAGCTCTTGCCATGTCGCTTTTTTGGGGGGATTCCGGGTTTAGGGATTTAGGGGTTCAGGGATTTTAGGGTTTAGGTTTTAGGGGTTTAGGGTTTTAGGTTTAGGGGTTTAGGGTTTTAGGTTTAGGGGTTTAGGGTTTTAGGGTTTGGGGTTCCGGGTTTGAGGTGAATTTTGGGCTTGGGGATTGGGGTTTCTGGGTTTGGGGATTGGGGTTGTTGGGTTTGGGGATTGGGATTTGGAGTTTAGGATTCTTTAAATTCATAGTAGGGCTTCGGGGCGCAGGGCTTTCGGCTCTGCAGATTTGGAGTGTTGGATCTTTGGGCCTTGACTCTTTGGCTTTATAAGTGTGGTGCTTTGGGGCTCTGCAGCCCTAAACCCTAAACCCTAAACCCAAAATCCCTAGACCCAAAACCCTAAAGCCCTTGAGCCCGGGGTTTCAAGGGGGGGTCGTCCTGCGCGGTGTCGCTCCTTCCGCTCCTTGCGTGTCCCCTCCTCCTCCTTGAGGAAGGCATCATAGCCTCGACCGGATCTTTCTTGCAGGCGGGTGTGAGGAGTAGGGTTTAGGGTTTCGGGCAACAGCTCGCATTCGTTGTTTGAAGGTTTACTTCTTTCGGCTACCAGTAGACTCAGTAGAACTGCGGAAGCTTTCCCATCCCCGGGCAAGTGGCCACAGCCGCGTTCCACAACGGTGGCTGGTGCCGGGGCTTTGGCGCCGGTAGGACCTCGAAGGCAGCCCAGCTGGGTCAGGGCCTGCGCCACACGCTCCACCTGAGGGGGTTGGGTCCGGGGTGTAGTGTAATGCTTTGGGGTCCAACGCTTTCGTCACCGTGTGCCACACTTAAGAATCAGAGAGAGAAACATACACAGATACAGATACAGAGAGAAGGAGGTTGAATTCAGGTTTCGGGTTCAACAAAATCACAGCACTTGTCCGAATCCGCCTGCTCTCCTTGCACTTCCACGTCTGCCAGCGCACCCTTGGCGTGCACGGTCCCACCGACACCCAGCAGAGTCGTCAGCGCGGTGCAGAGTGCCCGGGCATTGCCCCTTACGCCGCTGATGACCTCAAGGAGCAGACCCTTAAGCACTAAAAAGGAAAACAACGCCAACGGATATCCTAAGCCCAAGATCCTAAAGTCACTCACTCACAAGCGTTCGGAAGTCCGGTGCGTCCAAGGCATGCAAAGCCACAACGGGCTCTGCTCTGGCGCCACGGGAACAGTCCTAGAATCCTGGAATATCCTAAACCCTATAAATCCTAAACCCTAAATATATATCCTAAACCCTATATATAAATCCTAAACTATAAATCCTAAACCACACCCTCGCGGATCGGGCCAGGCACCGTCACCCGCTTGCCTTTGGCCCGGCGCTCCACGAGGAGAGGCGGCTGGCCGCCCTTGTCCGCGAAGACAGCGAAGCCACAGGACGGCAGGCCCCCAGCTTTGGCCATGGTTGTGTTGTGGGGCTTTGGTGTCTCTAGCTTTGTCCATTCATCTGCTTACTTCTTATCTTCGACATACAGAACACCCGAGGCGATGCCTCTTGGGGGGTTGGAGGAGTTGAAGGTTTGCAGTTCGGAGTTGTGGGTCGCGCGGGATGGAGAGCTCCGGGTGTGGCGAGGTTCGGGCTTGGCAGCCGAGGTTTGCCTTGGCGCCATGCCGTCTTCTGAGCGGTTTCAGGGCGTGGGGTGAAGGTGCTGAGGGTTAAGGATCTGGGTTCAGGGGGCGTGTCGCAGGGTGCATGGCACAGGGATGCAAAATCCGACTATTTGGGCATATCTGACAGTTTGGGGCTTAGTGGAGATTCGCACATGGATGTTCCACAGCTGCTGTCAACTTTATCTGGCTTACATGCTGACCCTTTGACTGAAGCGCGGTCTTCCAGACACTACATGCTGCAATTGCATGGCGGAACATGTGCTCAGCTCTTGTGGTGGGGATGCCGGGAAGGAGTCTCTGATAAACCCTAAAACCCTAAACCCCTAAACCCTAAACCCTAAACCCCTAAACCCTAAACCCTAACCCTAAACCGTAAGCCCTATGTCACCTCTGACCCGTGTAGAGCCTCCCCGAGCAGAAAGGAACAACAACCGTCCCTCAAAGGGCCGAACAACCTTTGCAACTGAACCCCAATTAAACCTTAAACCCTTAAAGCCCCAAAAGCCCTAAAACCCTAAACCCTGAAACCCTAAAACCCTAGAACCCTCAACCCCCCTAAACCCTAAACCCTAAAACCCCAAACCCCCCTAAACCCCCCTAAACCCTAAACCCTAAATGCTTCACCATCAGCCCCAAGGCCCCAAGCTCAAGAGCTCTCAGTCCCAAACCCCCACAAACCTGAAACCTGTAGAAGCCAGAATAGAAACCTTACATAAAAACTACGGGGCTCAGGGTTTAGGGTTTAGGGGTTTAGGGTTCTAGGGTTTTAGGGTTCTAGGGTTCTAGGGTTTAGGGTTTAGGGTTTAGGGGTTTAGGGTTTAGGTTTGGCCTTGGAGCTTAGGGTCCAAGACTTCATTTGTTTCAAGATTAGGTGCATCATCCGAGTGTAGGCTTCAGAGTCTGCGGCTTTCAGGTGCAAGGGCCTTAGGGCCTGATGGTCGAGAGCTATACATATATATATATATACATATGTATACATATATGTATATATATATCATATGAACCTAAGTTCCATACCCAAATAAACCTCAGCCCCAAAAAAGTACGCCTGAGCCTCAAAGACTCTAAACCCCAACCTGCGCGACCCCGAATGCAAGCGGAAGCACTGCAGAGGGGCGGTGCCTTCAGCCTCTTTGCTTGGCATGCACAGAGTGTCGATTCGGTTTACATTGCTGCGTTGCCGCACAGACATCCGCAAGACACCACGATGTCTGAGATGAGAGAATGGCATGATTCTGACTGAAGTTTGTTTTGCCGATACGTCTGAAGCGGCTGTTCGAAAGAGGCCGCCAAATCGTTCAGCTGGAATTTTGGCTTTGATTGGCACTCTGCCTTTTTGGCACTCTGCCTTTTTGGCACTCTGCCTTTTTTTTGCATCTAGTCTCTGATCGTCGCCAGCGCCTCGCTGGCACTGCGCTTTTTTTGTGAAGTCATGCCGAGGCGCGGCTCGGCTCTATCTAAGGTAGGGGCCATAATAAGTAGAATAGTGTTTTGGGGGTTCCTTATTAGAATTATAGTATACTATATTGTAATTATAGTATACTATACCCCAAATTATTATGGCCCCTATATCTAGGCTCTCGTCACTAGAGCGATTGCTCGCCCTCGGGTGACCCGCCACTCCGTCCCGCCCTGCAGATAGTTGCAAGAGACGAAGTCGGCAAGTCTTTGTGCACGAGTTGAAGGCTGTTTAGGGAGGCTGCCTCACCTGCACAGAAAGACACCACTTTCAGCTCACCATTTTGGTGGGACGTGCGGGGTAATGGTGGGGCCTCCAGGGTATGCCCATGTCTTTCAGCACTGCTCCTACTCTGCACCTGGCTTGAAATACGCGGGCTGGCTTCACATTCCGTGTCGCCCTGCTGATTTTTGCAAGAGACGAAGTTGGGAGTGTGTTTCAAGCAGGCTTCGCATGTCAGGAACCTTGAAAAGCTAAGAGTAAACGCAAAATCCAGGGTATGCCCATGTCTTTCAGCACTGCCCCAACTCTGTCCCTTGCAGACGGATATCCCAAAAGCTTCGTGGACTCGCTTCCTTGTCCGCATGCCAATGATCCTCATCATGCTGCTCGTTATCGTCATAGCGGCGACCCTTCCGCACTTCTGCTTCCGAGCCAGCTCACATCGGCTTTCCATCTCACCAAGTAACAGTAACGGCTACGGTGAACAGTACACCCACTTGTCTACGCTTGTCCACAACGCCGAAGGAGAAGCACACGGCCCACGAGGATCCTACCCTTGGGTTTGTGACGGCTTCTACAGTACGGCGCGTCACTTTACCGCCGCACCTCGAGGATCCTCCTGTGCACTTTACGTGCCCTTTTTGTACACTGAAGTGCCCGCCGACTCAGGGCGCGCATCGCCTTGGCGAAATTCTGAGACCCCCCTACGAAGAAGGCTTGCACTCGCACTCGTGCCAGATCAACAAGCAACAAGGCCTGGGAACTTGAATGGTAAAGTTTTGGAAGTCTCTGTGTTCGGCTGCGCGGCCCGAGGAAGGCTTGGTTGTAGGCCGCCAGGTCCAAAGCGAGGTCGTGGTCCTCCGTTTCAGAGTCTTGACTTCGGACTTCAAGTGAACGACTCAGGCTTGCAAGTCTGCCTGGGTTTCCGTTTGCAAGGTATGGCAAGCAATCGCATTGGGGCAACAAGGGTGAAGACGGGACAAAGTGGCTGATGTAGTTGGGAGAAGCTTGGAAGCTGCCTTGCCGTTAAGGGTACGGAATAGCGAGCAACCACCAAGTTGATTTCTGGGCCTCAATGATTAGAACAAACTCTGGGGTAAAAACCGTACCAAAAATGACAAGGAACCCTATGGACATAAGCACAGTCTTCCCAGCTTACACAATGCTGTCGCCTGTTCAGACTCATGCTGGGAGCCGGAAGCGGAACTGCTCTATGCCCTAAACCCTAAACCCCAAGCCCAAAGGCCTGGGGATTCATGGCCCAGGCGAAGCCCTGAAAACAGACAAGCCCTCGTACGCCCACGCAGCCCACCAGCCGGGTCTGCAAATGCTCTGGGCTTTTTGAAAGGCCTAGAGATTCTGGATCCTTCAGATTATTAACATAATACGAGGTTCCTGAGTGAGCCCTAAATAATAAGGGTACCCTTTTTCCTAATATTCGGATTTTTTAAGGAGAACCCAAAATAAAAAGGGCAAAAGGGTACTACTCAGGAACCTAGATAATATTTAGGACGGGACTATCTGGATGACAATCTGTCACACCGCATCCGAAGAGCATTTGCGCGCTTGGGTCCCCTCCAACCCACCATCCAAGCCAAGATGCTCTTGAAATGCGAACTCTGCACCCCTGCGTACTACATTTACATCCTAAACTTCCTGAGGCCCCAAACCATAAACCAGAAACCTTCACGGTCACTCAAGAAACTGGCGTAACCTCTAAATTATCCTGACGCCTAGACTCTACACTGGTCGCACCATCAGCTTCTATCTGATTCTATCTGCGACTACGAGAACCACCAACTACATCAACAATGACAATGTGATGATACCATCAAAACTGCAATTGCTCGCTTTGTGACTTCCCCAAACCTTGATTTCAACCCCCAAGCCTTTCATTACTAGGTGTCTGGTTTGTTTAAAGAGTCTTACGGTGCCCTCTCTCCCAACAATCGAACAATCTCCGAAACCCTCAACCCTAAACCCTTTGCAACCCGAACCTGGGCCTAAACGATAGAACCCTACAAAACATACCTGCGAAGCCGCCCTAAAACCCTAAACCCTAAACCCTAAACCCCTAAACCCCTAAAACCCCTAAACCCCCAAACCCCTAAGACCCATAAAACCCCTAAACCCCGCCCAAACCCCTATAAACCCCTAAAGCCTCCAACCCTAAACCCTCTGAAAACTCTGACCTGACCACCTCTCTTTTGGTCCTCCTCGTCGGCCCAGCGGCTTGTCTGGGACGCGGGGACGCTTCAAGAGAAAGGTTGCAAGAAATGGGGCTTTTAGGATTTTAGGGTTTGGGGGTTTAGGGTTTAGGGGTTAGGGCTTTAGTAGGGTTTGGGGTTTAGTGTTTGGGGTTTGGGGTTGAGGGTTTAGGGTTGAGGGTTGAGGGTGTAGGGTTGAAAAAGTTGCAAGAAATGGGATCTTCAAAAGTTACCATAATAGGGATCTATAGTAAATAACATGGTTTCCTTATTGTGGTAACTTAAATGAAATCCCTGAACAAGAACCCAGTTTAAGGGCTTCAAACATTAATGTCCGCCCAAAACCCCAAGGTTTGAATCTACAACCACGAACCTTCGGGCCAGAATACTGAACTTAGGAACGTAGACCTGCAAGCCGATGACCGGGGCTCAGTCAAAATCCTCTTTGTTCAACCGCAGAAAGCTCCACATGCGAAACAGCCTGCGATTGATCGACCCTTGAAATTGCAGGCTCCTGATTAGGGACTTTACAGGGTTTAGTGTCCGGGGTGAGTTTGTGGGGTTAGAGTACCGGGTCTTCTGGCTAAGAGGCCGGAATGACGGGTTCATGGCTGATGTGCGTTTAGGGTCAAGGGTTTGGGACCCCCGTCCCACACGGTGCAAACCCCGAAACGCGAAACTCTCAACTACCGGTTAGCAAGCCGAACCCTTTAACCCTGAAAATTCAACAAAACCTGGGCTTAGGGTGTCGGACAGGCCTGCACTATCAATCGGAGGGGTTGCGGTTTGGGACCTCTAACAGTATGGGACATGGGCTTTTGTAGGCCTTTCAGGGTTGAACGGTAAGGTT